GTGTCCAGGTTTGGTAGTGTGTGTGCGTGTGTGTGTGTTTGGAGGAGCAGTAATGTTTCCGCCCTCAGGCACCAGAGTGGGTAGACGGAGCAGAACGAGCCCTCTGGACGGCTGCTGGGGCGCCTGACAGACCCCTGCTTATTTAGGAGAGCAACCTCAGGAATCTTCAGCAAAGCGCTGAGCCAAATTTCCCACCACCAGGTAGACAGGGCAAATGTTGCAGGGCATAAAAAATTCACTGTGTTGGATGTTGTGTGATTTGAAGCATCGCTTCATGTTGGTAAAGAAGATGAGAAAAGTGTTGACAGTGAAGCTGATTCATGAGTGTTCCTTTAGTGACGCTCAGGATGAAAAGGATACAAAACTAAAATAACAACAATCAGTCGTGACCCTCAATGGATAGTCGGTGTATATGGATAGAAAGAAAACGTAGCATATATTGGATTCTTAATTAAGACTCTTAAGACTTAAATTTAGGACACACAGTTTGATGAACTTTCACGTCTGGTCGCTCTCAGAAAGATGATAGGCACGTGAAACTAGCCCTACTCTTTAGACAGGTAAACAAAATCCACCTACCAGCTCCTCTGATGCTCATAAAAGCCATATTCAGACATTAACTCTGAAGGATTGGGTCCAGACATTTTCCAGAGTTTATAGGAAGAACGCAGCAGGAGTTAGTTTGGTTCAGATGCGTTCCAGCAACAGGAAAAAGTCTGGAACATTCTGGACATTATGAAAAAATTCCACTGAGGAAATCACATTGTTTTTTACAGCACAGCAGCTTTGGCCCGTATAACAAAAGCTCTCAAATGATTTTGTCTTTTCATTTTGACATCTTTATCGATGTTCATTCTCCATATTTGGTACTTCTTTTCAAACCTGAGATAATTATATTAGTAGCTAGTCCTGTTCTTTTCTTACATGGATTCACCCCAAACTTTTCAGGACATGTTATTCAGGGTCTGGCAGGAAACGTTCCAGAAAATGTCAAAGTCAGCTCTGGACATTTTCTGAAAGGTTTCCTTCCAGGCCCTAAGTAAAATGTAAAAATGTCCAGATCAACTCACTGACATTTGCATTCTCACATAAATCCCATCTGGTTGTGTCACCTGAAAGTTGTGTATCTTTGGATATTGTTTCCTCCTCCTTCCAGTCTCTATGCTAAGCTAAGCATCTTTCCTGGCTTTAGGTTTGAAGCTTGGTTTTGTTGATGTTGTGTGAGGGCTCTGGTTGAGTCTTTTGAGGTTGTGGTAATAATTCATGACATGGTTTAACCAATGGGATCTCCACATAAGGCACAGTGTTAGCTTCTAAAGGAGGAGACATCAGCTGTGAGCTGTAGAAGGAGCTGAGGGAGGCAGCGGAGGGGAGCACAAGTTTGACACATCATGATTGAAATCTAAACAAATCATATTGTACACTCTTACATTCATGTGAATTTGGCCTCTTTCCTCAGGGGCATGTTACCAAAACTGAATGTTTAAATAATAGCTGGTATGATGAAACGTAGGCAGATTCATACTAGAAAGTTAAAAAAAAGTATTTATATATATAACTTTGTATAAAGTAACATTACATAAAAACCACACGTTGGTATTGGGGTTTTTTTTCAGGTCAGAGCATCAACCTCTCAAAATGTGCACGTCGCTGCCTCTTCAGAGAACATTTTACTCATACGTCAGTTCTTACAGAACTTCTTTTCAGACTCAAAGAATTTTTTGAAAAATCTAAAAATGACAATATACCTGACAACACCAGATATTAACTTCAGTTACCACAGTTACTGTGTCTTAGTAAATGGACTTAAGACTCAGTGTGTGTTGGAGAAAAACTGCAATTTGATGCAATTTGAACAGGTGATACGACTGGGTTGAACTTGTCTTCCTTTACGTCCTCAGATAAACTGCAGCATCTGCAAGTCAATATCTGATCCCCATCATGGCAGCAATATTTATAGAATCCCTTCCTGTTTGGTAATTTGTCTTCAAAGTAAAAGCACAATATTTACTTTGTTGTTACCTGCGAAATAGCCAACATGTAATGTATGAAAAAAAAATCACCAATGAAAAGAATCATTCAAACGTATATATTATTACACGTGAACAGTAATAAAGAAGATTCTGTTTCATTTTGTGAAAAACATTGACAGTAAAGTTGAGGCAAACAACAGCATCATGGGAACACAACAGCTTCATTGCAGATAAACGCAAAGTTTGCCTTTTTTTTCACGATTGAACTGACAGCTTTACTTTGAGAAGAGTTTTCATCACTACATTTTCTTCACATATGAAGTGATTCAATCTGTTCTCTTTTAAGTTAGCATACTGTACTTGTGTATGTGTGATGTTTGTTTTTTTTTTGACAAATTCAATCACGACCCCTTGATAACGTGCGCCTGATGTATTACCAAGGCTGTACACAACAACATTACATTACATTAATACTACTGTATGACAGCTGGCCCGCTCTGTCCTCCTCCTTTCCCCCAAACACAAAAGGCATCACATCTGTCACCTTTATGCTCCAGTCAACCTCATATTGATAGGGAGGGACACGTGGTAAATGTCACATACACACACGCATGCACACACACACAAGGCAGGAGGGAGGGAGGTTGTCGATAGCTGTCCAAAACGACGGAGTATTTTTGCTGATGCGCTGACTTCAGGAATCGCAGCTTCACTTTTGCTGAGATAAAGGATTTGTGGAAGTTAAATCTTATCATAGTCTATTATATGTGCACGTTCATTCATGCAATGCTACATAAAAAGTAACAGGGAGGTCTGTCTTCATGGACTACTGGCTGTTGGACGGTGATTTTACTGAAAATTACCTTTTCGTTGGAAGATGGAGTATACATATTGGGGCGCATGCACACACACTTACACACACAAACACGCACGCACACATGCACAGACACCCACACACACACTCATTGTCAATGGAACAAAAGTGCATTTGTGTTGTATAAATGTTGAACACATTTCCTCTTTTGTCAGGCTGAAGAAAGAGGCTCTCTCTCTCTCTCTCTCTCTCTCTCTCTCTCCCTCACACATACACACACACACACACACACACACACACACACACACAGAGCCATAATGTCCATTAACAAGATTTGACCCTTCGTGTGGATACAACCTTTTTCCACATCACAAAATGAGCCACCGAGCGCAGCTAAAGCCTAAAAATGTTTTTAACATAAGTGTGTGTGTGTGTGTGTGTGTGTGTGTGTCTCTGTGTGTGTAAAAAAAGTAATTTCACAGAAATTGACTGCATTATTCTGTACTTGTTTTCTTCCTAAATCAAGTTTAAATGTCATAAAAATTGAGTCAATGACTTTTATTAAAAATGTTGACCATGAAATAAAAGATGTAATCCATAAATTAATATGAGGAAATAATAAAAAAAAATTACAGTGTCAATCAATTGCTAAATCGTCTTGAATGTGAAATTCTATTGAATCAATGTAAATTACTGTGTGTGTGTGTGTTTTAATAAACTATCACTTTTTATTTTACCCCCCCCATTGACGCTGACAAACAATAACCAGGTACACAGGACAGATGCTTGTTTTGTGAATGTACAAGCTGTTACAAGACTCCTCTCACACAAAACACACACAACGGCTTGAATGTCGACTGCTGAGCTGTTTGATCAAAACATGAAAAAAAGGAAAAGTTCAAAATACATTTGAGGTCATCCACATAAAACACATGTCACAAATGACACATCAGAGTCATTACGCTACATTTTGAAAGGTATAAAAATAGTTATGTCACTTTCTGCTGACTCTGTTTGCCCCGCTCCACACACTGAACACCTGCTTTTTATCGCTCGCTGTCAGGACTCAGCTTCAGTGTTTGTAGAATGTCAGTAAAAAGAATACACTGTTTCCTCCTCCACTACTTTCTCCGTCCTCTCTCTCGGTGTGAGAGTGATTCACCTGGGTCAGACTCCTGCTATTTCATCTCTGGACGGACAGGTCATTCACATCCTACACACACTCGACTACACAGGATCAAAGAGATTCTGAACTTGTACAAACATATTTTCACAGCTTGTGGTAGAATAGGAATGTTTGTGTCTGTGGCAGAAAATGTATGAGGGGTTCAAGTTTGTGAACTTTGAAAAAAGCTTTTTGTTTACACAAACTTTACAAAGACTTGTGGCGGAAGAAGCGTTTGAGAAAGTTTGTTGTCAAGGAAAGTGTTATTACATCTGATAAAGAGGACAAGGGGACTCTGACCCTTGTATGTGCTTTACTGAGTGCATTTCTAGTTTAAACTGCACTGACTTTATTATAGAAAAGAAGTGGTTTGTATAATATCAATATCAGAAGCAATAGACTTTATAGCTGATCTAATCAGAAGACTGAATATAGTTAAACATAGAGTTATTACTTTACTTTTTCAGTCTGCAATGCAATTTAACGGAGCTTATGAAACTCCATATTGCAATAAAGACAGAAATGATTCCACCTCAGATTAAATGAGTTGGCCTCATCTTTATTAATAGCATGATTTTCACATTTATATCTGTTTTTTACTCACTATGACATAAAATAATAGTGCACTCATGTTTGAGAGAAGACAAACAGCCAAACATAAAATGCACAGCTTTTTATTCATCTTGTTGTCCTAGAGTACAGTCAGTGTGACATGTGGAAATATGTATGAATGTGTGTGTATTTATATATATATGTGTGTGTGTGTGTGTGTGTAAGTACATACATAT